TCCCAAGTATGTCTGTCTCCAAAGCCTGGATTGTCTCCTGCACATTATTCTGTCACCTCTCAAATAAAATGGATCACAAACCATCTCAGAAGAATAAGAATTCTCGTATTCCTGGTGCCAGATGCATGCCTTATCAATTCTTATGCAAATACTTAAACTATTAGAGTATTTTAGAAACAAATCCATTTCTGAACTTGGCTGCCACATACATCGTGTCTTTTGATAGGTGCTTTACTTGAACTAGGAAAAATGACCATTAATACCTTCAGTTTGCATAAAAGTGTTAATGTTGTAACACTAAACATATTAGTTTCATTTTGCTAAACAAACATTGCAGATTGTGTGTACATGTAAATGTGTGTATACTTAATTCTCATATCAACATTTTGTAAAACTGGTTAGTGATTATCTTAGAATGTAAATTTTAATTTGCTGCTGTTAAATATTAACACGATTTTTGCTGTATCTTGGCTTTCTATAGGCATGTTTCTGGCTGAGTTGATAGAGAAATATTTTGTGTCCCCTACCCTGTTCCGAGTGATCCGTCTTGCCAGGATAGGCCGAATCCTGCGTCTGATCAAAGGGGCGAAGGGGATCCGCACGCTGCTCTTTGCTTTGATGATGTCCCTTCCTGCGTTGTTTAACATCGGCCTCCTGCTCTTCCTGGTCATGTTCATCTACGCCATCTTTGGCATGTCCAACTTCGCCTATGTTAAGAGGGAAGTTGGAATTGATGACATGTTCAACTTTGAAACCTTTGGCAACAGCATGATCTGCCTGTTCCAGATCACCACCTCTGCTGGCTGGGATGGGTTACTAGCACCTATTCTCAACAGTGGACCTCCAGACTGTGACCCTGAAAAAGATCACCCTGGAAGTTCTGTTAAGGGAGACTGTGGGAACCCCTCTGTTGGGATTTTCTTTTTTGTCAGTTACATCATCATATCGTTTCTGGTTGTGGTGAACATGTACATCGCTGTCATCCTGGAGAACTTCAGTGTTGCTACTGAAGAAAGTGCAGAGCCCCTGAGTGAGGATGACTTTGAGATGTTCTACGAGGTTTGGGAGAAGTTTGACCCAGATGCCACCCAGTTCATAGAGTTCTCCAAGCTCTCTGATTTTGCGGCTGCCCTGGATCCTCCGCTTCTCATAGCAAAACCAAACAAAGTCCAGCTCATTGCCATGGATCTGCCCATGGTCAGTGGGGACAGGATCCACTGCCTTGACATCTTATTTGCCTTTACAAAGCGTGTTTTGGGTGAAAGTGGAGAGATGGATGCCCTTCGAATACAGATGGAAGAGAGATTCATGGCATCGAACCCCTCCAAAGTCTCCTATGAGCCCATTACAACCACTTTGAAACGCAAACAAGAGGAAGTGTCTGCTATTGTTATCCAGAGGGCTTATAGACGCTACCTCTTGAAGCAAAAAGTTAAAAAAGTTTCATGTATATATAAGAAAGACAAAGGCAAAGAAGGTGATGGAACACCCATCAAAGAAGATACCCTCATAGATAAACTAAATGAGAATTCAACTCCAGAGAAAACTGATGGAACACCCTCCACCACATCTCCACCTTCCTATGATAGTGTGACCAAACCAGAAAAAGAAAAATTTGAAAAAGACAAATCAGAAAAGGAAGACAAAGGGAAAGATATCAGGGAAAGTAAAAAGTAAAAAAGAAAAGAAAAGAAAAGAAAGAAGAAAGAAAGAAGAAGAAAAAGAAAAAAAGAAAAAAAAAAAAAAAAAAAAAAAAAAAAAAAAAAAAAAAAAAAAAAAAAAAAAGTAAGTAAGGTAAAGTAAACGTA